ACACAGCAGGAGGTGAGCAGCAGGCGAGTGAGAGTGAGCTGAGAGCGAGGAAGCGTCATCAGTATTTGCAGCCGCTCCCCAGCGCTAGCATCTCCACCTCAGCTCCACCTCAGACCAGCAGGCATTAGGTTCTCATGGGAGCACCAGTCCCTGGTGCCAAAAAGGTTGGGGACCACTGAAGATGATCAGAGGCAGAATCCCTGTGGACCTTAGAGTCCAAATCCTCAGAAAAGACCACTCAGAAATTTGAGGCACAGTTTCTGCCTCAAAGGCAGGAAAAACCCTTGTGCAGGGTGAATGGGAGCTTTGGGGGCCAGGTGGAGCCCCAGGGGCTGACAGCTGATTGTGAGTTCTTCTAGGAGATGGAGGAGGGAGCAACATCAGCAGAAGTTTCAGAGGGGGAGTTAAGTTTTGAATGAAGGGTGAGGAGGAATACTGCTCCTGGCAGATGAGGAGTGGGAGCCCACTACAGACACAGGAGAAGGCAACAAGAGGGACTGGTCCCAAGAGAAGAGGGGGCCAGCAGAGGGTTTGTAACACTCCCAGCAGGGGGTTGGGAGACTCATAGGGAGACATATCCGGCCTTCCATCAGGAATCAGTTTCACTATGTGCCTCTGAGACACAAGAACTCAGCCCAAAACAGCAACTTGTGCACCTGGTGTACCCGCTGCTGGCAGGAAGGCCTTAGGAGCTAGCCAGCTGCTGGGTCACTGTGCCGTCCTGAAGTCTTTTGCTCAGCTTGATCCATGCGGCTGAGTGGAAACCATTTACTTTTCCCTCCATTCACTCTTTAAACTGCTTCCGGCACTTCTAGACCCTGGGGATGCAATTAGGAGCAGGGACGGGCTTAGTGGGGTGGAGGGGGGAGCCTCACAGTCTAGTGGAAGATACAGACTTGTAAACCAGCGCTGATGGCCCAGAATAACAGAGAGCCAGGAGCCAGAGCGTGGGAGCAGCTAACCCTTTGGGAAAGGGGGCTGGGTAGAACTTTACAGCAGAGCTGATGTCTGAGCCAATTCTCGAGAGGAAATAGATGAAGGCAAGTTCACTAAGCAGAAGAGGGGAATGGTGTTCCAGGTAGAGAGACAACCGGGTGCCAAATGTGCAGGCACCAGGAGACCAACAGTGCTTTGTTTGACAGAAGCAGCTAGAGATTGAGAGTGGGGGGGGGTGAGAGCTCAGGCCTGGAGCAGGCTCCTGGGTTGGAATCTCAGCTCTGCCACTTACTAGCTGCATGACTGCAGGCAAGTTATTTTATGTCTTTATGCCTCAGTTTCCTCATCCAGAAAGTGGGGATAATAATACTATATTTATGAAATTAAATGAGTTAATATTTATAAAACTCTTAGTACAGTGTCTGGCACAGAGACTGTGCCATTTTATTTGTCAAATAAAATATAAAAAGTATGAAAGGGAGATGGGGGAGGATGCTGAGAGGCCTGTTGACTGCCAGGCCCAGGTCTTTGCATTTTGCTCAGCTGACCGTAGAGAGCCAATCTAGGGTAAGGGGACACTTTAGAATGAATTCTAGTGGCAGTGGGAGGATGACGTGGAGGAGAGGCTCTAAAGGAATGAGTTACTCTTTCCACAAATAATTCTCTAGGGCTTACCAGGAGCCAGACCCTGAGACAGCTACTCAGAACATGAAAGGGAGACTGGGGATGTTTCAGCAAGGAGCTCAGAGCTAGGGTCCTGGCCCAGCCCCCACACATCTGATGCAGCCCCCACTTTCTCACCACCCTCCCCTCGTGACTTCATGTCGCCAGATCCTGCGGTCCAGGTTCAAAAGGAAAGGCATAGAGAACATGGAGTGGCAATGGCAATGGCACCTCAGTTGGGACCTTAGTTGTAACTCTTTGGATCTTTTGGAGAAGAGAGGAAGGTAACTGAAAAAACAAAGGCTGTTGCCATCCCCTTGTGCCCAGCAAAGAGAAGTGGTCTGGGCAGTCTGGGCCTTGTGGTCAGCCCTTAGGTGCAGTACCCAAAGTGGAGGAAGCCCTTCTCTTCCCTTATGGCTCTGGCCCCTCCTCCACGGAATTCCCTGTTCCTTCCTCCTGAGCTGATCGCAGTAAACACAGACTCAGTGCTAGCACTGAGCTGGGCATGCCCAGATACACTGGACCTGGTCCCTGCCCCATAGGAGCTTGTGGTTCGGTGAGTGAGAGGAATGAAGTGTATGGATTTGAAAGAATCAGGACTTCCAGGGGTCTAGTGGCGGAGGAGCCACGTGGGTGGGGGTGGTGTGAAGCTATCAGTGAGAGGAGTGTATTCTTGGCCAAGGCAGCTATGAGCAGGTGGGATTTTGATATAGAGTGGGGAAGGAGGCCAATATTCCAGGCAGAAGGTAGGCCATGCGCAGGGACACAGCAGTGAGCTCAGGCACAGCCAGATTGGGGGCCAGAGAATAGCTTGGGTTGGTTAGAACCAAGGGTTTGTGTCAAGGCATAGGAGGCCAAGTTAGTGCCACACCGCAGAAGCCACATTTGCCAGACTGGACGATTTGGAATTCATTCTGAATTAGTGGTTCCCAAAGTATGGTCTGGGGGAGGTGAGGCTGGACTCTCAGAGGATTGGTGAGGTCAAAACTATTTTCATAATAGTACTTTCAGAGCTGCCCTGGTTCAGGCCCTTTTCACCGTGTTAACATTTGTACTGATTGTGCCAAAGCAATGGTGAGTGAAACTGCTGGAACCTCAGCACAGATCAAGGCAGCGGCCCCAACATGAACTGTTAGCCACTGTGCTCCTGACTCCATACTCACAACAGTGGCAAAAATACAATAAAAGTATTAATTTCATTAAGCCCAGACCCTCGAGTGTGTGTCTTTTTAAATATTCTGTGAAGAATTGTGAAACATAGATAAGGCACTTTAAACCATGGTGGATATCTTGAAAAGCACTTTTGTGGGTTACAAGCTGTACTAGTCACTTTTTTTAAGGAATACTATTTTAACTTGAAAGAACACCTGGCAGACAAAACTTTCAGCTTGGCTATTTGGTAGACATCTTTTCGAAATGAATGAAATGAGCTTGTCAGATCAAAAATGGTATCAGTGTTTAGTATTGATAATAAAATTTGAGCTTGCAAGGGAAAATTAGAATTTTGGAAACCTTGTATCCACTATCTAGAGGCTGACAACTTCCCAAGACTTAAGGAGTTTTCTAATGAGATTGGTAGTAATGTTAGCAAGTGTGATTTCTTTGATACTGTATAATGAAATGTGTCAACACTTGGAAGATCTGCATAACTCAGTAAACCAATATTTTCCAAAGACCAATACTTGTTGTTACAAGATTCAGAATGCAAGATGGACCAGTGAAAAGTTCATTGGTATAGTTTCACATTCCACATAGCCACTAACCTTTAAGAAAGTACCACGTGTCATATTTTGGTATAGTAGCAAAGAAGATTACCTGTAATTGCCTGAACAAGCTAGTAAAATACTCCTTCCTTTTCTAACTACTTGTCAGCGTGAGGCAGAATTTTCTTCATGTATTTCAGAACATATCGCAACAGATTGTCTGGCAAAGGGAGTCATGAAAACCTAGCTGTCTTCTATTGAGGCAGCCATTAAAGAGATTCACAAAACTTAAAACTTGCCACCCTTCTTGCTAATTTTTTTGTTTTAGAAAATATAGTTTATTTTTCATAAAAGTATGTGATTTATATTAACGTGTAATGGGCTTATTGTTTTTAAACAAATTAATAAATATTTTAAACATTTCTCAGTTTTAATGTTTAATATGGTAAATATGAGTAGCTATAACCTGCATAAACAAAACCTTCTTGGGATCTTTTTAATTTTTAAGGGTGTAAGGGGCTCCTAGGACCAGGAAGTTTGAGAGTTGCCACTCTAGTCCCTAGGGAGCCAGGAGCATAAGGAGGAAGGCATTCTGGGTGTGACATGGGCTGGTCTCTCCTGAATACAAGCCAGGGCAGCTCTGACAGGACCCCTCAGCAGGACTGGGAGACACAGAGTCAGGAATCCCAGCTCAGCCACTTTTGAGTTATAGGTAGTCACTTGCCTCCACGACCCTCTGGGTGTCCTGTTGTTCAGCTAGGACTAGAATGCTGCTCTTGAAGGGGAATTATAAGCTTCCTATCTGATAATGCTTGTAAAAAAGTGTAAGTTGTGAAACCCTTGACAGATATTTATTTTTGTGGTTATTTTGTCAAGCCAGTGCTTAGCTATCTCAGATGCTTTCCCCAGATCCCAGAAAACCTGTTCAGAGGATGTAAGAAGGTGTTAGGTAGCCAGGAGAGAGGGAAGCTGGCCTGACCTCCACTACTTCTTCCTCCCCAGACCACTACCCCCTCACCCCCCCACCCCCGTCCCCGCCACCCCCAGAGCTGAGGCAGGGGCTGTGCTATAAGGGGCGCCAGGTGAAGAGAAGGCTACTGGGCAGTCGCTTACCCAGGCTCTGGGACTTTGGGGAGCTAAAGCCAAGAAGCAAGACTCTTGCGTGTGTGGTGCGTGCGCGCGCGCGTGCGTGTGTGTGTGTGTGTGTGTGTGTGTGTGTGTGTGTGTCTGTGGGTGTGTCCGCCCACCGGCTGCCTGCTTACTGCAGGGCCGGGAGCCACTGCTGGGAGAGGAAGTTCAGTCGGTTACCAATTGGGTTATTTTCATAACGGCTGTCTCAGGCTCGGGGGGAGGAGGGCGGCGAGGGGGAGGGGGCAGAGGAGCAGCCACAGCAGCTCGCTCTCCAAACTAGGACTTGCTCAGCCAGAGCCCGGCAGCCTGGAGCTGGAGCCAGAGTCGGGGGGCTCGCCTGCCCACGGGGACCCCAGCCCCCACCAGCTCGCCCACCTCCTGCCTACAGCCCTGCCTTCCAGATCAGGTCAAAGGGGGCTCCCCCAACCCTTGCCTTCTGCTTTCTTCTGTATCTGTCTGGGTGGGTTTGGGGAGGGGTGGATCCGGGTGGGCCCAGGCACTACTATCCCTAGAAGAGGCTCCTGAAGCTGATGGAAAAAGA